AACAAACAATGGTAGGAGGGCCCCAACATGATAGAGCAGCTCAGTGGTGGCTGTCCTCTGCAGGCTGGAGCTGACAAGAGGAGATGCTCTTACAGATTTGGGCTATTTAGGCAGAGTAGTGGCCCAGAGGGTCTAGAGATGGTTCTATCTGGTAGATTCAGCAAGCCAGTAAATATATTGAGCACAATGAAAGCCAGAATTCTCACTGTTGGACAAGGCAAACACAACTTAAAACAAGGAGAGCAGAAATGAACCCTTTGGTTTGGATTGGATTGGTGGTATAGGTGTAAACTAATTATTTTCAATATATACCTGTACAAATCCCCATATTTACCATATAATATGTACAGGTATAAATGCACACACACAAAAATCTCTGGCAACTAAGGGGACCAGGAAACAACATACTTCAATAGATCTAAGTTTCTAAATCCATTTAATGGGAACAAAGCTACTTGGGGGCAGGGGTGATGACTGATTGCAGGACCATAGTAAGAAAAGAATTACATGACCCTGGAAAAGTTTTATTATTCTAGAAAGTAAGAAAGTACTCAAAGAATAATGGGAGCACTTTCAAAGCAAACACAAAAGCCAGCTTAGAAAGATACCCACTGGAAAAATATGGGACTATTTGAGCATGAAATAAAAGCAGATAGGGCTGGCTCCATGACAAGCAGTAATGCACTACTAAAGAGAAACCATACACCATGTTCTCTGTGTGTGCAGGAAAGCCTCAGCCTGACCAGGGCTGACTTTCTCTTCCCTGCTGCCAGATTATAGATTACCTGGAGAAACTCATCAACTCTATCCCATCTCCCTGCATCGCCTGCTTCTACATCACTGTGATAAGCTTTTCCTGCATCACAAGCCTGAGCACTCTCCCACCATTAGCACTAAACCCTCACTCCGTCCTGTGCTCCATCTGTACCACGGCTGCCACCCTCTAAGACAAATGTCAGCTGTCAGGTGTGCCCTGCTCTGGACCTTTCCCTGCTACTGAGCATCCTCGAAGCGAACTACAGTGGCTTCCTGATTGGGGACTCTCATTTTGTTTGGTATCAGGCACTTCGTTTCTTTATTATCACACAACTGATAATTCTTATTTGTGTTTTTCCTTAGGTCTGGTCTGACTGCTCATCAGGTTCCTCTAGGATTCAAGGGATGCAGCTGATCAAGCATCCTGCCTCTGGACCTGGTCCTCCTCTTCTGTAGCCTGCCTGATGGCATCCAATTTCTCTTTGGGATGTGAGTTCAAACAGACTAAGAGTCATTCTTTTTGTGACCTCACTTCATTGCGTTTAACCTGCTCTACTGACAACAGTGCCAACCCAATCATTTATGTCTTCATTAGCTCCTTTTAACTCCACCTTCAGACCCTTGAGTTGACTCTTTTGTTTTAACTTTCTTTCTTTCTTCTACAGGTGAGATAGAGAGAAAAAGATAGAAACAGCACTCCCAATAGCGTCTTGACACCACAATTCATCCCCATCCTCAGTTAGCTCTCTATCGTGGGCAAGCATGTACCTGGTTACTCAGAGAAGTCTCTAGTCCCAAATGAAGAACCTCCCGGGTGAGTCAGCCTCACAGAGCTTGTGTTTTTTACTGCTGCCACTGTTTGACCTCCTCAAGTTGATGCTTGAGGATGCTGCCAAAGTGCGTAAATGTGGAGGTAGTTCTCCATGAAGGTGGAGCTGTTGAAAAATCACACTGGGACAGTGAAGAGGAGCCTCTGTCCTGGTCCGTCCGGTGTGACTTAGAGTAAACATTTCCCTGCCATGGTTAATCTGCACTTCTCAGCTTCCTGCTTCTGAAATGCCTCAGGAATTTCCAGCTGAGTTTTCTCCTCAATCATGGGCTGGGTGATTTTTACAAATTAGGAGGCAAAGCATTAATGGGACAAAGAAATGTGGTAATAGCTGAAGATATTCTACAGTCTTATCAACTGCACTAGGGAGAAATGTTCACATGTTGAAATATTCAATTTGTAAGATAAATAATATGGATTGATTGTAAAAAAAGAAAATTAAATTTTTTAAAAAAGAATTTTGAGGGGTCCAGTACCAGACTGTTCTAGCCCCTTGTGCAGACTCCACTCACCTTCGTCCACTCTCTGGACTTCTGGTCTTCTCTTCTCTTTGGTCATGAGCTGCTGGACCTTACTTTGCTCTTCTTGTCCCTCTATTTTAGCTTCTTTGTGAATCTGTTCAGTAGTTTTAGGGTCTGATCTGCTCTTCAAGACTCAATTACACAGCCTTAGGTCTATCACATCTTGATGCATAAAACAAATTCTAGATGAGGTTTTTCTTTCTTTTAAATTTTCTCCATCTAATTAAAATACTGGTCCATATGTGGCTTTGTTTTCTCAAAGTCCAGGTCTTTGCCAATGGTGGCGAGCAGATGACACAGGCAAGCCAGGGATTCTTCATGATTCTTTCATGATTTTAATGCAGAATCATGCATGATGGCTTCTGGCAGAATTTTCAGCTGAGAGTTCTCCAACATTATGTTACCAATGAATATTTGTTGGGCTTTGTTAATACAAAAAGAAAGATAAAAAACATACGGTAATGGGACCAGCAGTTAGTGTAATGGCTATGTCGCTAGACTCCCATGTAGCTGAACACGGTTGGAGTCCTGGACCAGGCGGCTTAAACTCACACTGGGCGCGTGTGCATGCGTGCCCAAGATCCCAAGAGGAGAATGGAGGAGAAAGGATTGTGGCGTGGCACCCTATAGCAAAAAACCTCTCCATAAACACACACACACACACACACACACACACACGATAATTACCTTTTTTTTTTCATTAATATATGAATGTAGAGAAAGCATTTGATAAAATACAACACCCCTTAATTATTAAGCTCTTTTTTTTTTCTTTTTTATTCATGATTAAGCTCTTAACAAGATGGGTATAGAAGGATCATTTCTCAACACAGTAAAAGCCATATATGAAAAACCTATAGCTAACGTTATACTGGATGGAAGAAAGCTAAAAGCTTTTCCACTAAAAACTGGGACTAGACAAGGCTGCCCATTTCTTCACTCCTTTTCAATATAATTCTGGAAGTCTTAAAAATGCAGTCAGAAAAAAAATAATATAAAAGACATTCAAATAGGCAAAGAAGAGTTGAAAATATCTTTTTTTTTTTTTGAGAGATTTTCACTGTAGGGCGCGTGCGCTCACCAGACAGACAGAGAGAGACATAGAGACAGAAAGCG